GGGGGGGCCCCCCCTGCCAGTCGTGCCCTGGGGCCTGCGCTTGGGCCCCCTGGTGGCACACACCTAGGCCTTCCCAGGGATGCAGCGTCTGGGTTACACGCTTCTCCTAGTGTGGGCCTGGCCGTAGCTCCCCACAAGGCTACACCTGCCGTAACTCAGAGGCCCTGGGCGAGGACAGTTATGCGCAGGAAGCACCGCGAGGCTGGCCGTTCGCTCCTCCTGGTGGGGGGATCTCTGCAGGCAGCTGCGTGCTCAGCTCTGCAGAGGCTCACGCTGTGCACAGGCCACAGGGCCTCTTCCACGACACCGAGACGGCCAGGACAGACAGACTTCCCCGAGAGAAGCAGAGGGGTCGAGTGACAAAACAGGTGAGGGGGCTTTCTGCTCTGGAGGGGACACGCGCACAGGCGTGTGGCACCTGGCCAGGGGGCAGAGAATCCACGAGGATGCGCCTGAGGAGAGACAGGAAGCTGGGGAGGAAAACGCCAGCTCTCAGCTGCCCTGGTGCATCTCAGAGGTATCTGAATCTCCCCAAGGTAGTCTCCCCAGACTCACAGAGGAAATGAAAGAGAACCGGGGATGTTTCCCCGAAGACTCTCAGGCTGGTCTCTAACTCTGCCTGGCCTGCCATTGGCTAGATGAGGGCAGCTGAACGCTCCTCCGGCGGTGCTGTGCTGTGTGGGAGGGCTAGGAAGGGGCTGGAGGGGTCAGAGCAGCCACGCTGCTGTCAGTCCCTCTGCTGGACGGCACTAGGGCACAGGGACCCCTCAGCCGCCTGGCCTTCTCCTCCTACGGACCAGTCACAGGACTGATGGGCCAGTGGCGGGCCCCACACTGCCGGGTCCCCAGACAAGCGTGGAGGGAGCAAGTGGCTCCCCCTCATTCTCGGCACCCTGAGGCAGAGCAGATGCAAACTGCCTGTGGCCCGGGGTGAGCTGAGTCCCCCACGCCTGAGTCCCGACATCTTCCTAACAAAGCAGCCTCTGGGTCTTCACGTGAAGGCACCCCCACTTCCTGCACCAGGCTGCTTCTTCCAGGGAGGCCCAAGTCGGCCTCAGGGTCCCCTCAGCCCACATGCCCTGCCTGGGCCTCCCCAGGGAGGATGCAGGGTCTGGGTGTGCAGGGCAGGAGAGTCTCCTCACTGCCATGCTGCCCGCTGCTCAGACCTGTCCCCACCCTCAGTGCACCCCACGATGCCGTCCTCAAGCAGGGAGCACCTGGCCCGGGAGGGGAGCCACTGTCTCCACTGCTGCTGGGGAGCAGGGAGACGCAGGCCGGTGCAGCCATGTCACCTCCTGGGGCTCACCTAGCACGTGATCTGTGTCACAGCCCGAACTGTACCCTGGTGTGCTGTGTTCCCTCCACGGCGCCGCCCAGGGCTCCACACAGGGCTGCCAGGGAAGGCAGGAGAGCCAGAGCCGAGGGAGTCTGGCCCCCTCGCGTCCAGGCTGGCTGTGACGCTGCGCACTCTTGGCCAAGCGGCCCTGTGCGGGTTCTTCGGGATTTGTCGTTTGGGACAATTATACCAAAGTGCAGGAGCGGCTACTACTGCATCCAATTCCCTGCTCATCCCCTTCCAGCTCCTGGGCTGCCCTTGGGAATCTGAGCACGCCACCGTTTGTAGGGAGCCAGGACAGGCTTCCTATGCGCTGTCCTTCCAGGCTGGGCTCAGGCCGTGGGGGTCAGGACCTGACGCTGCAGCCCGGGGGCCGGGGGGGCCCTCTGGAGACACAGTGTTCTGATTATTAACAGCAACTGGAATCTGATGGGGGTGGCACGGGTCCTGGGAAAGGCTCTCAGCCCCTGGGATGTGCTGCTGGGGTGGGCAGGCTCAAGGGGCACCTAAGCTGGCTCCTGCTGTGTCCTCCATCCTCAGGAGTGACAGCCCTCGCCGGGATGGTGGCTACGAAGTGCCCTGAGCATTCAGAGAAGCCCCTGCCACGGCCCCTGCAGTGGAGGCTGAGGGGCTCTCCCAGCCTGAGCATAGTGAAAGGACTCTGCCCCGCTGTCAGCCTCAGCGCTCGCTCCCCAGCCTCCCACACTGCCACAAAAGAAAGGGGCCACCCATCAACCACCTGAAATGGAGGAAGAGTAACAGCAGGGACAGAAAGTAACATTTATTGAGTCTCCCCACCGGGTGTGCATCTTAGTGTCTCACTGCTACGAGGTGAGGAGTGATAGCTTGTCCATTTTAACGGCGAGGGAACTAAACTCGGAGAAGTCTAGTAACTTGCTCAAGGTGCAACAGCTTACGAGAACGGAGCTGCGACCTGCAGCCCGGGCACCTCTCCTGCCCCCAGGACTGGAGAGCCGGAATACCCATGAGACATGCACAGACCAGAGTGAAGGGGAGCGGGCTGGCTGGTTCGAGCAGACCCCAGCACGTCTCGGCTGCGGATACCACACACGCCAGGACCGCCCCTGCACTAAACTACACCCATGTCTCTCCCTGCCCGCGTGGCCTTGGCCCGTTGTTTCTCGGACTCGCGGCCCCGGGGTTGAGGACTTGTCCCCGTAACAAGTCTTCGCGTCTTCCATGCACTCTCTGAACGTGGGCCGAGCTCTCCGGGTCCTCCCGTCTGCACAGCCCTCCAGCTCCTGCACTCAGCCCTGAAGGGGGTACCGCATGGCCCCTTCTCAGCCGGGAGGTTACCCTGTGGACGGCCTGGCCAACCCAGCAGTCTGATGAATGTGTGCAGTACCGCGAGCCAGTCGGATCTCTTCTTGGACTGAACCTCCATCTGTCTCTTGAGGGGTCACTTTCAGCTGCTCTGATAAGCTCGCGGTGTCCCGCGGACTCTGCCAGCGGGAAACCCTCAGTGTGCTTGAAATGAATGGCCACCCCGCTCGGAGGAGCAGCGATTGCTAGCGACACCACACCTGCTCTGTGCCTCCCAGGCCATGTTCTGTCCCAGTGCCAAACCCTCGGAACATTACGTCAGCACCATACCGACTCAGTGGGCAGTGGGCAGTGCAGGCCAGACTGCACTCCACCTAGGGTGCCAGGACGGCTGAGCCCCTGACCCACATGCAGCGGCGGCGAAGGCTCTGGGGCTGCCACATGGACCCAGGTCCAGGAGTATTTCAGATTTCTTCACACCCCCGTCTCCTAACCTCAGGAAAATCTCTTTTCTTCTGCTAAATGTAGAATAACCTTGAAGTTTCTCTTTCCAGTAATGGTGCCTCATTTGGAATTTTCTTGGTTCATCAAAATCAGGCAAAACCTTCCCATGAATTCCTTGGCATCAGAACAGTCAGAAGGCCCGCCTGGGGCAGTGGGCCTGGACAGCCATCCTCAGTGTCACACCGGGCGTGGGGTTGCTGCGGGAAGTGCCTGTGAACTCTGCAGAGATGTATTCGATCATTTGTTTGCTGGAAGCTTTTCTGGGTGGTAGTGCAGGGAACGAGTTTTTATTCCAAAATTAACACTAGGCCTCAAAACAAGTTCTCCCCTACAAGATAAAAATACAACACGAGGCTGACTCACGCCCTCTGCTGTGCAGTGACTTAGGGCGTGAAGTCCTCCTGGGTGACGTCATTGTTCCAAGAGCTCACGGGAGGGCCGACATGGAGGGCGCGAGGTCTCCCTGGCTGGCTGCTGGCAGAGTCACTCTAGTGAGGCTGCCCATCACATGGGCTCACGGCTTCATGGCAGGAGGGTAAGGGACCTCTGAGGCCGGGGAACTGGCTTCGTGGCCAGATGCTCTTTCTCTGGTTCAAGGCAAGGAAGCAGTTTCTAGCCACCAGAGGGAGCCAGGAAGAAGCCACCAGAGTCCTGCCATGTCAGAGGTCCCCGTCCCTGCTATTCAGGGTGGGTTCCTCTCTAGTTCAGCTGACATTTGAGAGGGGATTTGTCATGCGTTCTATACTGTTACCAGATTAGACAAGCTAAACGTGACCAGCTTTTAGTGTCATTTACCAAGCGCCGCTGCAAGACCAGAGGTTATGCACTTCTGCTCTCCGTTGAAGGTCTGTGTATGAATGGAGTGAAACTGGCCTCCACCCTTTGGACTCAGCATGAGGGTGGCCCACTGTGTGGGTACACGCAGACCTGCGCGGAGCCAAGACCGCAGGCACGCGCAGTGTCAAGGGTCCTTCGGGTCTGAGGTCCCTAATCCGAGAGCGGCGGTGATGACAGGAATCTCCAGGTGGCAGGGCTCGGTCACGCCACACCCTGCGGCCCAGAAAGCCACCCTCAGGGAGCAGGCAGAGAGCAGAGCACAGGGCCATGCCCAGGCTGGCCCGCCGGCACACACTTTCGGGAACGCTGGCCGAAATGCTTGAAATGAAAGGTGCTTTGATGAACGCTTGTTTAGGATGGTTTGCAAGCAAGAAGGTCTGCAAGGCACATCAAAAAAACAGGCCCCTGGGGGCTACGTGACTGCTGCAACTCAGGACAGTGGTCAGCAGCGGACGCTCAGGGCCAGCACATGGAGGTAAGCAAGCCAATGGGCAGGTGTCGGCTGACATGACTGAGTGAGGGATGAAGACAGAGAATAAGGAACTTACCCTCACTCCCATGAACCTGTCCCTGAGAACGATCCATGAGAGCAAGAACACAAAAGCTTTGTTGCAGCAGAACAACACGGAGACATCCGTAGTGTTTACTTTCTTTATTGCATGTAAGTACAGGTAGTTTGTGAGTGTCCAAAGAACACCAAAGGGTGCTGCCTTGGTAAAAAACACCTTCAAAGTCAAGCCATTGTCTCCAAAAAATCGACAGCATTCCCTAAAACAAGGAAAGAGAGGCAGTGTTATTACATTCTCGGGGTGAGACAGACCTTTTTCTCCTATTCCCGGCTTTTTAATGTACTTTTCATTTTTAGCAATATAGGAGGGGGGCCGTTTGTTTATTATTATTTTAATAAATATTCCTACCAAGGCTTTCCACCCTACTGCTGTATTCCACAGAGAACGCTGCGCCGGAGCTGAAGTCAGAGACAACCCCTTCTGCTCCTGGGAAGTTTGGAGCCGATGAAGGCAGCGCTGGGATTATCTGACCTGATCACTGCTAACCGGCTGAAGGATTCTGTCATACATGCTCAGTAAAGGAAGGAAGCCATTGCATCTTTTGCATCTTGTTTCTTTTTTTTTTTTTTTTTAGATAGAAGAGGTGGTGCCGGTGGAGGAGGAGGATGGATATGCCAAAAGAATTCAATGAAACACATTTTAAAATTTTGTCCCTGGGATGGCATCGTGGTTATGTTGCTGAACTCCCATATGGCCGACCCGACCACAGTTTGAGTCCTGGGATGGTACAGCAGTTACATTGCTGAACTCCCACATGGCTAACTACAGTTCGAATCCCGGGATGGCATGGCAGTTACGTTTCTGAACTCCCACACGGCCAGCCATAGTTTGAGTCCCAGGATGGCATAGCAGTTATGTTGCTCAACTCCCACATGGTCATCCACAGTTCGAGTCCCTGTCACGGTGGGAAAATCACACTGGGCACATGTGCATGGGTGCCCAAAATCCTGAGAGGAAAATGGAAGAGAAGGGATTGTGGTGTGGCCATCCTCTCTGAGGGGTGATTTCTCATGTTCCCTCTCACTGTTTCTGTTTCTATCTCTCTCTGGTGAGCTCAAAAGGCAAAAACCTCTCAAAAATAAATAAATAAATAAATAAATAAATAAATAAATAAATATGAAAAACGAAGTATCTTGTCCCAAATTGAAGCCACTTCTTGGGGAGGCTGAATACATTCTGGCTGTGACACAGGCAGTG